TGGCAGCCACACCCTAATCCTAGCCCTCTGCCTCAGCTCTCCAGCTGTTGCTGAGAGACCCAGCGCCCCTGGTGCGGGTGAAGGCTGCTGAGGCCCTGGGCCGCCTGGTGAAATTCGCTTGAAGTTCCAGCAAGTCCCCCGTACAAGCAATACCACCTTCCTGGGGCCACCCAAGGACCTCCTGCCTGAATATGGGCCAGGGCCAGGCTTGGCACTGCTACAGATCAAACCTGAGCCTGAGCCCTCAGTGAGGGAGGCGCTGGGGCCAAGCAGGGAAATATCCCATGAGACCCCACCTGTTTCCCAATAAAACCATGTGCCCTCAGCAAGTGACAGGGATAGTGATGTGGCCTTGGCTGCTGGTACATGCTGGGAGAATGCCCTTTCCTGGGTGGGAACAGTTCAATTCAAGAGGCGGGAGCATCAGATATGGGAGCAAAGCCTCTATTGAGGACCCTGAGCAGAAGTACTATGCCCCCCAGAACCCTCAACCGTCCGGCCATGGAGAGGCAGGGCAGGCCACTAGCTGAAGAGACGGATGGTCCCATCGGCCCCTGAGGAGAAGACCCATGGCTGGGAGGGATGGAAGGCAACATCCAGCACGCCCAGGTCCCGGGTCAGCACATGCCCCTTCAGCACCTTGACGGGCACCAGCAGTGGATTCTGCAGAAGATCACTATGGGGAAGAGGGAAGCTCAGGACACAGCCAGACAGAGTTCCCTGGGGTGGGGCCAGGCAGGGTCAGCACTCACTTGTACACCATGCCATGGCAGACAATGACACTGCCATCGTCTGAGCCAGATGCGAAGAGTGGGTACCGGGGGTGAAAGGCCACAGCTCGTAGTGCCTTCCTGTGGTGCCTGTGGGGGGGTGGGGGGGGTAGTGCTGGGCTGGAGATAGGTTGGCCAGAGAGAGGGACCTGCAGGGCCACACCACACTTCACCTCAGCTCACCTCAGCACCTTGTACGGCTTGGTAGAAAGATCCAGATCGAACCACACCAATTTACTGTCGTAGCTCCCACAGATGATATTGTCACCTGAGCAGCCAGATGCAGTGAGTGAGGCATCCCCACAAGTTCACCCAAAGGTGCACAGCCCATAGCCCCCCCACATGCTCACCTGCAGGGTGCACAGCCAGGCTGGACACCCACTTGCAGTTGGGCATCAGCTTCTTGGTGAGCTCCTGGCGCAGCAGGTGGTAAAGGCGGACACTGCGCTGGGAGGCTACAAGCAGGAAGGGCCGGGAGGGGTGAAAGGCCACACACTGCACCTGCCCATGGCTGCGGCGGAAGGGCGTCTGGCTGCGGCGCCGACTCAGCTGGTGGATCAGCACCTGGGTATGGCCAGCAGTGGCCAGAACCACTGCCAAGTAGTCCCCACGTGCGTGCCAGGTCACCTGTGTTACTGGCTACAGGAGAAAGCAGCCGGCTGGTTGGCTGATCAGGCAGCCGCACTCCAGACCATCCCATACCCCTTGCCTTTCACCTTGTCATGGCAGATGCGCAGCCGCAGGCCCCCCTGGTGCTCCTCCTCTGAGGCCTCCACCCAGCGGGCAGGCTGCAGGGTGGGCTCCTTGGGCGGATCGAAGGCACTCAGCAGCTGGTCTGTGCTGCCCACCACCAGCCGGTCCCCCAAAGTGGGGTTCAGCAGTAGCACTGCATCCTCCCTGTGGGCCAGGGCCAGATAGCCCTCAGCACACACCCCTGCACCACACCCCATCCCACACCCTGCCCCCACTTACACAGCCACAGCCACCAGGCAGATGGTGGGGTTGGGGTTCCAGGCAACACTTCTCACCACACCCCCCACGGGCACAATTTTCACACAGCGGGCAGTGGCCACCTCCCAGAGCCGCAAGGAGCCATCATCTGAGCCTGGGTGCAACAGAAGGCTCTGGACATCTAAGCCCCCTCCCTGAGCCCCCACTTAGAGCTACCCACCTCAAGCCCACCTGAAGCCAGCCACTGTCCCCCTGGGGAGACACTGAGGCAACGGACAAGGTCACTGTGGCCCTTGTAGACCTGCAGAAGGGGTAGCAGGGTAGTAGTGAGGAGATGGACACCCAGGACATGTGTCCACCCCACCCCCCCAAGCCCTACTTACCAGGGCCTGGCATGTGGGGAAGGGCTGCAGGTCCCTTGGCCGTGGCAGTCTAGGGATGAGGTCTTCAGGGTCCACGTTCACCTAAGGCAAGAGAGCAGCAATCAGCCTTGCTCCACCTCCAGCCCCCATATCTTGCATTTTGGGGGTCCACTTTCGCCTGAGGCAGGAGAGCACTGGTCAGACCTGTCCCCCCAGCTCCCACGCACCCTCATCTTGCGCTGTCGTGGGCATAGGTATAGGTCGAGGCAGCGCTCAAAGCGCTCCTGGATGAAATGGCTGTACGCAGGCACAGCCCGCAGGCTGGAGAACTGCCGTGGCAGGAAGCTGGGCTTCCTCTCACCCGGCTCCTTCTGCTCCCACGCCAAGCGCTATGGAGAAAGGGGTGAGTCAAGAGCACGGGGATGGTGCCCAGACCCCTACCCGGCACAGGCCCACCTCTTCCTTGCTGAGCAAGAATTCAGGAGGTGGATTGTAGGACTCAGCGTGGCCAGGCAGGGCTAGCTTGGGGGCTGGCACGTGCATCTTGTGGCGCCCAAGCACAGCATTGGGGTCCTCCTGGGCCCATAGGTCGTAGAAGCTGGGTGTGGAATCCCGGGGCCGGCGGGGCTGGATCCAGCCCATCTTGATGGCATGTACCATGCGGGACACCTGCACAGACGCCCCAGTCAGGGTAGGCAGCACAAGGCTCAGGCCCCAGGGGCAGGGATGCTCCCACCTTCTCTTTCTCCACCAGGGAGGGGATAAAGCTGCGCTTGTCGGCCGGGCGGTTGGTCACTGGGTGGATCATGATGTCGCCACTGAAGAAGTCCACAGCTGGCTGGGGGAACAGGCATGGGCATGTAGGCCAGGGCCCTACTGGAACCTCAAGACGCCTGGGACAGCACGCTGCCTACCTCATATGGATTGAAGCTCTCATCCCCAAACTGGCCCCTCTGTAGCCGCCACACCAGAGCCACCTGCTGATCAGTTAGCCTCAGGTCACGCCCTGTCATCTGGTCCTGCACGGTACGCCTAGGGATCAGCCAGTCAGAGCCTGGCCCCAGCCTCACGGCCCCACCACTGCAGGCCTGCCCACAGGCCCTCACCAGTAGTTAGGGTCATCCATCTTGTCTAAGAACTGGTCCAGCTCGTCCCGAGTCCGCAGGGGCTTGTAGATGCGCCTGCCGTCCAGGTCATAGCCCACGTGGGGGAAGTCCTCATACCACTCCAAGGGCACATTGCCCACTGTGTTCCGGATATCCTGCAGCCACAGCCACCACATCAACATTCAGCCCTACCATCACAGCACATCCCTCTGGGCCACCCAGGAGACACAGGGGAGAACAGGCAGGAGTATAGGCACCAGCCTTGAGCACCCTGAGGCCAGCTGACCTCTACACATGCCCTTTCTCTGGCCCTGGGGTCTGACGTGGCACAGTGGCCGGCACTGCCCCCCCACCCCGCCCTCTGAGGCGCCCGGCTGCACCTTCACATTTTCCACTGAAGCGGTGCCAACCCCAGGCCCCCCCACCCCGCTTGTTGGATTCCTTGGCTGGGGCTCTGGGCAGCCACAGACAGCGATGACCTCATCGCCCACCGGGCTCCTTCCCCTGGCAGGGGCCTGAGGCAGAGGTGGGCAGGGGTGATGGGAAGACCCTATCAGACCCACCCTACAGGAGGCAGAAGTCACTGCTTTCTGCCGTGACTGGCCAAAGACTCCCCACCCCCAGATGGGCAGAGCAGCTACATTCCTGGACACACATTCCTGGTTGCAGCCCCTGCCAGCCACCCTCGCTCCTTCCAGCCTGGGGACTGCTGCCCAGGCACTGCTTCCTGCAACAGTAGCTACAGGGGAGGGGCAGACAGGACAAGCACAGTTGGGAGCCCCCAGTGGGACAAGACTGACCCCTTGGGCTCTGCCCCCCCCCCCCCGTACCTGCCTACTCATGCCCCTCCCCACAGGTCCACCCCCAAGCTCCCAGTGTCCTATCCACTGCTAAGAATATCCTTTTCTTCTCCATGGGGAAGGAAGTCCTCTAATACCCGAAGACAACATGGCCATCCCCACACTAGATGAACAGGAGTGTTTCCTGAGGAACCCGGGGGCTCTAAGGAGGAACCAAGTCTTATCCAAGCATGCCTGGTCCCCAGTCAGGGTCAAGGAGGCCTACAGGACGCACCCAACAGGGCATGGGGGTAGGTACTCTTAAGCAAGAGAGCAGGAATGAGCTGAGTAGAGTGGGAGAGGACCTAGCAGAAGGCACAGCCTGTGCCAGGCGTAGAAGGGCAGGTGCAAGACAGACGGGAGAGGCTGGCTCATACCAGTGTTGAGGCAGAGGCACCCGGCCTGGCAGACAGGCCCAGTTGCACACAGGAGGGCGAGACAGACAGGGCGCGGCCAGGCTCCTGGGCCAGGGTGGCTGGGTTAACATGCTTTTATGCCAGGGAAGCAAGCAGGGCCGTGGATACTGCTGGAGCCCTGCTCACCTGCTAAGAAGGAGTGAGCCATTGCAGTCTTGGGGACCTGACTTGCCACCCAGAAGGGGCTCCCACTTGCCCTGCATTCCCCAGGAAAGAGAGATGCTCCAAAGACCTGACCCTGAGCATGGAGGTGGGAAGGCAGGGGTTTGGGGGTGTAAGGTTAAGGGCTGGGGAAGGAGGCAGCCAGTGAAGGCAGAAGCTCAGAGCTTGATGGAGCCTCCGGAGAGAAGGGGCGGGGCGGGCGGCACGGGGGGAGGGGCCGAACACACTATAAAGGCGCGGCCCGCTGCTTCCCTCCAGCCCAGTCGCACATGTGCGCGCGGCGCCTAGCAGCCGCCACCGCGGGGCGCAGCCAAGACCCGGCGCCTCGCCCCGGCCCCGGGCGGCCCGCGAGGCCCACGAGGCCCGCGGCGGCCTCAGGAGGCGGCATGAGCAGCGTGCGGCGCAGCTGACGCCGCGCCCCAGCAGTTCCATGTCTTTCGCCATGCTGCGCTCGGCGCCGCCGGGCCGCTACCTGTACCCCGAGGTGAGCCCGCTGTCGGAGGACGAGGACCGTGGTAGCGAGAGCTCAGGCTCCGACGAGAAACCCTGCCGCATGCACACAGGGCGCTGCGGCCTTCAGGGCGCCCGGCGGAGGGCCGGGGGCCGGCGGGCCGGGGGTGGCGGGCCAGGGGCGGGGGGCCGGCCGGGCCGCGAGCCCCGACAGCGGCACACGGCCAATGCACGCGAGCGGGACCGCACAAACAGCGTGAACACGGCCTTCACCGCGCTGCGTACGCTCATCCCCACCGAGCCAGCTGACCGCAAGCTCTCCAAGATCGAGACACTACGCCTGGCCTCCAGCTATATCTCACACCTGGGCAACGTGCTGCTGGTGGGCGAGGCCTGTGGCGACGGACAACCGTGCCACTCAGGGCCCAACTTCTTCCACGCGGCCCGCTCAGGCAGCCCCACGCCACCGCCCCCGGCCCGCGATGGAGAGAACGCTCAGCCCAAGCAGATCTGCACCTTCTGTCTCAGCAACCAGAGAAAGCTGGTGAGAACAGCGCCAGCAAGGGGGCGGGAGACGGAGGGCATAACGTAGTAGGGCGGGCAACACCTGTAACCCAAGCCTCCCCAGGAGTCCCTAGGACACAGGCTCCCCGGGTCACAGGGACCCGCGAGTGCAGGGCAGTGGCAACAGATGAGATCTGGGGCAAGGCAGGGCAGATGCCAACCTGGGGAAGGGAAACCTGGCACAGAGTGGCTCAGGCTTCACTTTTCAGCCAGTTGAGTCCAGGAAGTGGGATGCTGCTTCACACTCACTCGCTCTGCCCTCATGGGAAGGGGCTTGGGGGCACAATGAGGCAGGAAAGGAGGGATCCCTGGGTCTATGTGCCCCTCACATTGCACTACTGCCTCAGACTGACTGGCACCTGCTATGCCCCAGGCCGTGGGCACAAGGGCAGAGGCTGGCAGGGGTGCCACAGTGCTGCAGGGGTGAGGGCCACACTGCAGGAGTTGCAGGCCAGCTGTGATTTACAGCCCCTGCTGTGCTTGGTGGCACCGGAAAAGCAGGGTGAGCAGGGAGAAAATACGGCATGGCTTTTCCCAATCCCCATTTCCTCTCCAGACAGCACGCACGAGCTCCTGGGGCCTGAACATCTGGGAAATTTAATTTTACAATTTCGGCTGTGCAGCACTGTACTCCCCTCCCCAGAATGCACGGGGAAGCTGGGGTGAGGTGGGAAGGGGGTGCCTCAGCCCCACCACCGGAGGCAGCACCTGGTGAGGAAACCAGAGACGCAGGCAGTGTGGGGTGGCACCCCGTCTCAGGGTGTCTGCCCACCCCTCACACTCCTCCCTCCCCTCTGCAGAGCAAGGATCGCGACAGAAAGACGGCAATTCGAAGTTAGGAGTGGGCCCATGGCCGCCAGGAGGCAGATGCTGCTGGGGAAGGTGGATGCCCCCGGTGTGCCACAGAGAGCCCCACCTTGGACCCAACTCGGGCACAGACTTCCATAAGTATGCCCACCAGGCAGCCCCACCAGGCTGTGAGCAGGGCCCGTGGAAGACAGACGGACAGGCGGCATCAGGACTCTGAGCTAGCCGCAGCACCTGCCCAGGCCCACTGGAACTTTCCATGCTGGCTTCCCGCCTGGGTTTTCTTCTGGTTGCTGTGTTGGCATCTTGTGCCTTTTATATGATAATATAAAGTCTGGAAATTTTGTAAAATTAAAAACAAAACAGTATCTTCCAAATAGAGAGGCAGACTGTCCTCTTGGAAGGTTTGGAATTCACCCCCACCCTGAGCCTACCCTCCCTGGGCCAAGTGCCCCCAAGGCTCGGCCAACTCTAACTGGAGCAAGGCAGTGTGAAGCTCCTGGGGGGCTTCAGGGGCAGGCTAGGGTAGGGAAGGGAAGGATAGACAAAGCCCCTGCTCCACAGCAGGAGATGGGTGGGCAGCAACAGAGCCACCCTGCCCCATCTGTGGGCCTACCAGATACCCAGGGGCTCCTGAAAAGGCAAGAAGGAAAAGCTGGCTGCAGGGCTCAGGCCTCTCCCCTGCAGGCAGGCGGCACTGCAGTTTTGTCCACAGAGCCCAGGAAGGAGTATGGGACCCGCTGTGTGCCAGGCTCACCCCACTCCCCTGCCCCCACCTCCGCACAGCCCTTGGAATAAGTGCCCATGCTGCAAGGACCCCCTGACCATCCTTCCCCTGCTGCACCCCACCCAACCCCCAAGACGCCACCTGCTGTGAAGAGGCTGACATAGGCCAAGCTCCCTACACAGCTGGCTAGCCATTAAATCTTGCAGGTGACAATTATAGTTTAGTGGTATGAGCTAAAGTGGGCAGAGCAGAGAAAAAAGGCAGGGTGGCTCTGTGGGGCCACCTCCCCCACCAAACCCAACAGCAGCTTGACTTCCGGCAGGGTGGAGACTGGCTGAGGGTACCAGGTGCAGGCAGTGGGGCAGCCTCAGGCCCCTCCTCAGACCCTAGCTCCAAGCATTATGGCCCTTAGCACCCCCACCAGGGGATCCAGGTGCTGAGGCCCACCGGGCACCTGCATGGGGCAGGGCTAGAGCTACCTCCTGCCTGCACCACAGACCCCAGAGGCTGCAGGCCAGGAAGTGCTAGTGTAATTCTGAAGGAAATTCTCAAAGTCAGAGCCATTAAGGGCCAGAGGGGGCTGTGTCCAATCTGACAGAAACATAACAGGATAAAAAGTCAGCGGCAGGTTTCGTTCAGAGAGAAACCCAACCCCAAATTTCCTCTCCTTAATCCTGCAGGAGCCTACAGCTGTCCAGAAGGTGGGGAAGACAAGCCTGGCCACTATAGAAGTCCCCTCCCATCCAGGATCTCAGGCCCTAGGCAGGGTGTGGGGGTACACCTAGGGGCTGAGGTGGCCCCTTCCCCTCTTCAGGGTGTTTTCATCGCAGCCCTGTCCAGCCACCCTCCCAGGCAACAAGGCTTCCATGAGAAGCTGGGTGGGCCCCAGGAACACTATCTAGACAATATAGGGTCCTCACCTCCAGGTACCAGGTGCAGTTTTGCAAAGAAGAGTCCAGGGCCCACCTGCCCCCGTCCACAGGCCTCACAAGAAGATGGGTGACCATATGGGCATCTACCTCAAGAGTTGGAGTAGCCTGGCCAGTGTCAGGGATGAATCAAAGGGGACGGGCCTTTTGCAATCAGATACTGCAAGTTCCTAAAGGCACCCCTCAATGGGGTGCAGGCTGTTGGCCTGAGCAGGCAAATGTCAGGAACATGGTGAGGGACCAAGGGGCACACATGCCCAGGGACCCAGTGTGGAGGGGAGGCAAAGGCTAGAGCAGGTGGGTGGGCGCAGGGCCAGCAATGGGGGGTTCTGGGCAGGGCCCAGGGGATGCAGGTAAGAACATAGAAGCCCACTGGACTGGGGCCCCAGTCTGGGGTGTTGAATGGGGCCAAATGAAAAGGGCCTTGGAGCCAGGAGGGTCCCCACGGCTCAGTGGGTCGGGGTGCGGCACGCGCTGGCCAAGCCCTCTACTGCAGGGCCTGACTCTGACCGCGGCTGCAGCTTGGCCCAGCCTCAGGTCTGGGCAGCCAGCCCGGCTGGTCCCTGAGCTGCACCGGTAGCAGAGGCCCAGGACCTGGCTCACCAACCAGCAAGAGGGGGATGCAGCGGAGCACTCTGTCAGCCTCCACTGCTCCAGAAATTCAAACCAGACCGGGGGTAGTGTGGGCTAAACCACTGCCCTGTGCTCCACGCGAGTCCACAGAGTTATAGCCGAAGGTGGCAGGTGTTCCCTGCCCACCACAGCCCCTGGCTGCCGTCCAGAGTGCTAGTCTCAAGCCTCCCCTATGCCAGGACCCATGGGGCAGACCTAGGGTTCTTCTCACATGCCCCACAGAAGCAGCTGGGAAAGAGGGGCCCACCCGCACCTTGGGGCGGCAACCCCTGTGAGCTGAGACGGACTGGAAATGCTCCGCTCAGCCTCAGCTGTCAGCTCCCTGTCCCCAGCCCAGGAACGGGCACATGATTCATCACCAGGCCGCCTGCGCCCACAGGCCAGCCGCCCTGCCCTTCTCAGCACCTGTGGGCTGCCAGGAAACACGTGTGACCCTCCAGGTCAGGCATTCTACTCTAAGCCCAGGCCGGCTGGCCAAAGGCACATGCAGACCCAGGGTCAGTGCTTTCCTGGGGGCCTCCATCCTCAGACTGCCCCGGACACAGGCATCAGAGGCTGATGTGCTGGCTGGGGTTTTTCCGCCCTTGATGAGCCCCCTCCCCTCCCCCTCCCCAAAGTGGCTGCAGCTGTCAGGACCACAGATTGGAACTGCAGGTACGGGGCTGGCCCGCTGCCCGCCGCCCTCCCGTGTCTGTCTGCAAGAGAGGAAGCCGGCCCACCTCTGGAATCCTTCACTCTCTCCTCGTTCCGCCTCTCCCACCTGTCCCCCGGGAGCATGGGGTCAGCCGCCCTCGCTCAGGCTCTCTCTTCCCCTGGCCCCTCTCCGATTACAATGCGGGTAGTGTTCAGCACCATTCTACTCCCCCTGCATGCAACAGCAAGGGCCTGTCTCTGGCAGTGACACACAGCCTTCCTATGCGGACTCCTCCTCCTCTGTCTGCTGCTCAGGGCAGGACAGGGCCAGTGGATTGTGCCAGGGTCACCTGCTACATCCAACCCCCCAGGAGGCTCCAGCAGGAGGCTGAGCCCTGGAGCTGGAGCCAGAGTCCTTGGCAGATGGGAAAGTAGGTCCAGTAGGACTTTCCCTGCTCTAGTCCCTTACCTCCCACTACCCATGTGTCTCTCCCTCAAGAAGATGGCCTAGAATGAAGAGAGAGAGCACCCTTTACCCAGACGCTACCCTAGAATCCAACAGAGCAGAGGCTCCTAGACTCCCATGGGAGTGCTGGGGAGGGGACCTGGGCTACAGATCACCCACTGTTCAGACAGGGCTGCAGCTTCAAGCTGGAGGGGGCTGGATTGCCACCTGCTCAGCCCCAAGCACTGCACAAGAGCATCTGGGATGCCTGTCCCCAGCAGGACACCCTGGTCCTGGGACACATGCATAGCCTGGCCCAAGCAGCTAGACTCTTCCGAGGGCCCCTACCCTGGCCAGCAGCCCCTGCTAGCCAGGTCCCATAAAACCTGCCCCCGAGACACCTCCTCTGGTCAGTTCCTATAGGCTGGCTCTGCCAGCTCAGGGAGGACCTCCCCTCAGAGCCCCTGTCCCTAGCACCCTCCCACTGACACCCCATTACCTGCCTGGGTTCCCACTGCTAAGAAAACTGGCTCCAACTAGGTACCAGAGCAGGCCTAGGCACCCCACCCCACAGCCCAGAAAGAAAGAAAAGCCCACCTCCATCTGCCAACCACAGGTCCTGAAAGACCCCTCCTAGGGGACAGCTGATTTCCACCATGGACCCTCCTCCTGGACCCATCTCCACTCTTCCCAAGAAGAATCTTCTCTCTAAACTGGGACAATTGAATGCAAAGGGTGGCTCTTGGGCAGAGGTGGTGATGGGTAGAGCCAGGGTTTCCCTAGCCAAAGGGCACTCAACAAGGCCGCAGCACACCCACTATGCCCAAGGCCACTGGAGAGGATTTCGGGTCATCAGAGCACATTGGTGCCCCTCCCTGGCAAGACTGGCCAAGGCACACAGCAGAAAGGAGAGCAGGGAGGGCCGTCTGGGCCCCTTTGGAGGCTGGCACATGGGCTGGCCGCACGGCAGATGGCCACTGGGGCCGAGGCAGGCTGCAGGCCTGGGGCGCCCTCCACAAACCAAATGGGGAGGGCCAACTGCTCACTCACTCGCTGGGAGCTGGGAAACCTGAGCCGAGAGGTGCTGGCTGCCAACAGCGACGCAAGTCTTAGTGTGCAGAGCCAGGACGCAGGCGGGCGGGGCCAGCCTCGGAGGAGCAGGAGGCCGCCAGCACTGGAGGCAGCTGCTGGTTCAGTAGCTGGGAGAAGCCATTAACGGCATTTGGCAAGAGAGCAGAGGGGATGGCGGCTCTGGATGCAGATGGACCCATCCCAGGGGGCAGCCACCATTGCGGCTCCCACCTCCAGCCCAAGCCCCATAGGCATCTCAAGAGATAGGCCCAGACCCAACACCCCCAGGGAGAGGGCAAGGACAAGGCAGCCCCTGAATCCTGGCCACACTTTCTAGACAAACATGCCAAAGGCGAGTTGGGTAGGCGAGGAGGAGGGCAGGTGGGCAGCTCCTCCCCTGGGCAGTACCCCAGCCTCAGTTTCTCCCAGCTGCTTGACACAAAGAGGGGAGCTCCCTTTGCAAAGGCCCCACAGGCCCCTTGCCCCGCCCCAACCCCTCCACCCCGGCCCCCAGGCCCCCCTCCCTGGGGGTCCCGGCGGCTGGATGAGATCACGTCTGTGAAGCTCCAGGCACAGTGGGAGCGGGGTGAGGTGGCCATGCGGGGGCGGGGCAAATGCAGCTCAGCCAGCTCCCAGAGGCACCCCTCACTCCATGGCAGCCAGGACCCCACCAGGCCCAACAGTTCAATCAAGGGGCTCCACCACACCTTCCTCAGCCTCATCCTGGGAGGGAAGGAGACGACCACCCGTATGGAAGCAGCTCTCCCACAAAGCGCAGGCCAGTTAGGGAAGTTAGCATCTAGGACCAGGGAACCCCAAAGCAGGCCCCAGCAGAGGCCAGCAGTCAGGGGGCATAGAAGCCACAGCATCCCCAGACCTAGGGGTGGGCAGGGAAGAAGCCCAGGAAGGGAGGCAGGTGGGAGGCTGGCACACCTCCCTCCAGCAGGATCCTCTAGAGCCCCAACCCCTAG